TGTAACCTTTGTTATACCTTTAACTGATACTTATGTAAAAAATCCTTCTTATAAACATGATTTCCAATTAAGAGTAGCCGCTGCTAATGATCTTTTCGCACAAATATTTAACCATATGTACTACTTGCAGTTCCGGATAAGTCGTGTTTTATCCAAGTGATAATCTACAGACGAGTGGCAAAGTAGATCATCGTTAGCCATTAGTTGATCATTAGCAGATCACACATAACTCATCTCATCTCGAAAAAGTGGATCACTTGTCGCCACACTTTCCCGCACTCCGGCGGCAATTAGCCGCCGGATTGGAGAGCCATCAATTCCCCGTTCGCTACCGAAGAGCCCCCCTCAATCAGTCTCAATCAAAGATTGTCCGTTTGGTGGCTGGTGGAATCGACCGATGTTTAGGTGATCCCCTTAAAAGCGAACAAACGAAAATTGCAGCGAAATCGGCGAATAATGCGCGAAACAAATAAATAATTGCCCGCTAAAAAGTCAAACAAATCTTCGGCTACACCAAAAAGGAGTAACAACAGCCAAATACTGACAACGCCGATTGCTATATATAAGCGGCAAATAATATTAACAACCAAACAAACCGAACACAAGCGCCGATCAATCAATCAATCATTTTCACTCAGATGTCGATGGCAAAGTCGAGGCTGGATTGAGTTGGATATCCAGCCGGCTGGCTGGTCGGTCTTGCCCTATGGATTTGATATGGCCATAACCCATAAACCTGTCCCTGGGACCCCTCTTCTGAGCCATCTTCTGCTGTCTTGTCTGGGCGGCTGTGCAATTAAATAAACGAAAGTTTTTCATTAATTTCGATTGCAGCTAGACGACACTTAGACCAGGGTTTCCTTCTCCCCCTCTGATCTGTGAACAATTCCAATTCATTAGCCACGCTTTGGCTGGGCTTTTGGGCCTGCTCGCTGATGGCTTGAAGCCTGTTTTTTAGGTGGACCTGGTCTTGGTCTTGGTCTTGCTCTTGGTCTTGGTACTGCTCTTGGTCTTGGTCCAAGACCTGATCCGCTCTGGAGTGGGGCGTGCTCTCGTGCTGCTCATAAATGTCTGATGGATGTGACGTGCCTTGATGTATTTCACTTTTCTTCTCCGCTTTTCCTAGACTCCAATGCTGAAGTTGTTAAGTGCCAGCACATACTCATGATGGCAAGCAAAGGCCTATGCTGCCGCTGCTGCCCAACAGCAACAACAAATAGTTGTTTGTTATTTTTCTAGTTTCAGAAATTTTCACATTACTATAAAGCAAAGAGAGCCCCCAAGAGCTGGAGGTGAAAATAGAAAAATCGCTTGGCAAATGAAAAGCGCGAAAAACGCGCGTAGCGAACAAAGCAAACGAGCCGCTTCCCTCTTGGAGGGATGAGGGCATAAGTTGGTAGGAAAACAATGTTGGTTCAAGCACACATTTTCCAAAACGTACCCGATTTCCCAAGTTCACTTGTAGTTAATTAGCATTCGTTAGTTTCATCAAAATCGATTTGGTACCAGTGGGTATTTTGAGTTGCATTTCCGTTTAGTGTGAAAAAGTTAGGAACCCTTCCTATGAAAAGGTAAAATACCTATTCTAATTCATGTTCATTTTATAAAATTAATATTTTTTTTACCAATTTTCAAATTTATCTTTATATCAATTGTAAGCCCTGCAACAATGATGATGAATAACAGAACCAAAAATTTAATTCTATATATTAACATAACATAAAAACAGATTTTTAAGAATTTACCTATGGTTTTTATTATATGCTTACAAAGAAAATATATTCTTTTAAATATTATTTGAAGCATCTTTTAAAGGTTTTTAGATAAGATACCGCCTAAGAGCATCTAGCAATCGCTGCAAGCATTTTCCATTGCTGGCTTTCATTTGGATTCGGTGTTTGCCATTTCATTTGTCGTCTTATCCGTCATAAGCTCTCTATCTCAACTCGGTCTCGGTTTAGCTCAACTTGACTTGGGCAGCTCCGAAAAGGGAAAGTACAAATCGCACTTTTCCAAAGCACTTAGGGCTTGCCAATGCAGTATTGGTCTAAGGATGCAACCCCACCCAGAAACAACCTCGACACGAATCGAACCAAACCGAACCCAGCCCATAAAACCCATCTCAAGTTCAAAATGATTCACTTTGATTCACTTTCGCTTTCGTTGCGTTCGAAATTTAATTTCTTCGCTTTGTCTCGGCTATTTTGGTTGGGGGCAGTTGCTAAAAATTAATAGCTTTGTGTCGCGCGGTAAATACGCGCTTATATCCGCTTATATCCGCCGGCTGGAGCGACACACATTCTGTCCATACATACCCATATACATATAGTGAGCACATATATCCCAGGCATATGTACTCGAGGTTGGGGGAAAGCTGCCTCCACTGCGTCCGCGACTCGGTGGCCCCCAAGATTGCGTTGCAATTAATCATCGGACAAAACGCATTGTTCGCGTTCCCCGGCAATGGCGATGGGATCGGAGAACTTGGAGGTCTGGAGGTGGAAGTGGAAGTGGGACCTCGGCCTGTCACGCACCGCTCTCGGCCAGAACTGCCCACTCCCATACTCCTATGTATTCCTCGGACTCCGGCTGCTGCTCCCGAATATTTAAGTCGGTCATTGGCGCTTGTCCAGTGGGTTTTTATTCGCTGCTTCCTCCATTTCCACAACCACTTCAGATGTTCTCTCGTTTTCGCATAGTTTTCTTGACCCAATTTTCCCAGAGGCTGGGGATGAGGTGAAAAGAATTCTTATTGCTGAAAATTTTCCGCACGACTTATGTAATCTGAAAAGCCGCTTACGAAAGTTCTGTGAATTATCTATTGCTACTCGTACGTTTATGCGCCTGTTAGCTGCCAACTATGTTGCACAACTTAAAGATGGTTAAAACACCAGGAAATCATTAACAAACGAAGAGAGAAAATCAAATGGTATTAGGAAAATCATTAGTATAACCCATAACCCTCTTTGCAAAAACAAACTTCAAATAATATAATTTTTATGTACTTTTATTATTATGTTTTCACTGTATAATAAACTTGGAACGTCGCCGTCTTGTACGCCCACCGCAGACGCACATCGGTGTACCCCATTTTGGCCCAAACGCTGCACAAGTGCTAGTCGTACTGGGTTGGGTATCCCTTCTCCAGCAGGTACTCCACCGCTAAAAAACTTGCGCTGTTTTTGTCAGCCACGGCTTCGACGAGGAATCTTTCCAGCGATTTGGTGTCCGTTAAATAATAGAACACCTCGTAATTAATTAAATTAATCGTAATCGTTATAGTACTTATGCAGATCGTATATTATCTACATGGTTGCTGCTCAGTTGATGTTAGTCCTCTTTGAATATACATAGTGGTGTATATATTATGTATGCTTTAGTTCGAACTCGAATCGTTTTATAAATCAGCTTAGTCATTATTATCATTATTTAATAATATTAATAATTAAAACTGTGCGAAAGCCGCAGTTTCGCCTATCAAAAATTACTTCTAATCAAATTTTCGGTTAGTATTTGGGGTCTGGATCTAGGTTGTGGGAACAGGGTTATGTTTTTCTTTCTACAATACAAAAAACAACTCAAGTTGCTCGACTTGATCTACGATCTGACTGGATATATCTCTCTCGGTTTCTGTTAATATATAGTCATGTTTTAAACCATTTTTTTTTTATTATTTTGCTTAAGAACACATTGTTGTTTGCAGTTCGTGTGAGTGTGTGTTTTAATAAATCGAAATCAAAAATTGTCTTACAAAAATCAGTAAACTTAGACCACTATTTTTATAGATTTCCTCCTGCCCCGTTCGGCGGGGGGAAAATGCTTCGATTTGGGATACCTAGAGATGTTCACGTCCACTAAGGCTAGTATTCAATTTGCTTCAGCTGTTCGTAACAGTTTTCTAAATCTTTGCCATAGATCTCTAGCTGTTCCACCTATGTGGGCTGACTAACGAGTCTATCAAAAGGGTTCACAGGTCGGTTGAAGTCGTTCCTCGGATTGTATGTCTAGTAAGCCATGCTTAGGGGGTTCTATATTTTGTCTATGTATTGCTTGATCGGTTTGAGATTGATATTGGCTAGCCTAGATGTCAGCCGCAAGCTTGGTGAGCAGAAAGCAAGGACCTTCAAGCTGTTAAAAGATATAGGGTTTGGTTCAATCGGAGCTATCTGATATCTTTCCGGGGCTTGAGCTGCCTTAGCTAGTTAGTTCGTTCCTAGTCCTGATTCGGAACCATCACAAGTCCAAGACCTTAACCGAACTAGCCCGACTGGCTGTTAACTGTCGGTTATCTTTGAATTCCTCCTAACTCTGCCGCTTCTTTGGCATTTTAATCGTTTCTTAATCGCTTCGTTTTCAATTTTTTTTGTTTATTGTGTTCATCGATTGATAGGTTGTGTTTAACATTTAGAAGAGAGATTATGCTTTCAATTCTTTGTTTTCACTTGAAATGCCCGAACTTGAGTTACTAATTTTTATTTACAAAATTTATTTTGCTTTTATTTTTGAAATATAAAATAACTTTTTTGTTTAGTTTTGTGTTTTTTCTTGATTTTTGTTTTTATTGCGCATATAAAAATATCAAAAATTCTTTATTTTCTTTTTATATTTTCCGTTTATATAATTTTTTTAATCTTCCTCTTGGAACTATTTGTAAGTCTGTTGTTGTTGATTTATATATATATTTTTTTGCCTGACTTGCTCTTAGTATACAAAACGTGTTATGAACTTTTCAATGCCAAAAATTAAATGACAAAGATACATTTTTTTCTCGTGCCAAAGGTTAAACCTTATTTTGTGGCCTCAAAATGGAGACTGATTTGCCACGCGACACTTTTAATTTTTGTGTTTTTTTTGCATTTCATTTGAAAGGTTTTTGCCCTTTATAAATATGTACAAATATATTTTTCGTAAAAAATTATAATAAAAAATGGCGTCAATTGTAATTTTTTCTTTGCTATTATTGTTTTCGAAATATATGTCTGCCTGAATAAATTTAGTTGTTTGCTAATTATTGGCGCCTATAAACTGCATTGATGTAAGTTTCCGTTGTTTATTAACTATTAGTTTGTTTGTTTCTGTTGTTGTAGTTTTGCATAAAGCACAGCACATTAGAGGCAATTTTAACATTATATATAACTCGTAATTATTTCTTTCTTTTTTGCTTCTTTGGAGTATAAATAATGTATATATACGAGTTTTGCATGTGGGGGCGGGGTTGAATGTGTGTATTTCGATTTGTTGCTGTTCAGTTAACTTAACTTCATGTTTGCTATATGCTAAGTGTCTGCGTGAGTGCTGTCTGCGTGAATAATCTGTATCTGTATAAACATTCAGATCAAGCGGCCCTTAGACGATGCGTCTAGTAGGATGCATGCCCTAATCCTACTACTCTATAACGCAGCGTCTCTGAGTCGCTTAGTGAAATGTTTTGCTTGCGTTTAAAATTAACTAATCACTTTTAGCGCAATGCCCAAGTGTTATATATTTATGTGTATAATCATATGTAGTAAATATTGTTATTTTCCTCGGCTAAGGCTGCTGCCTTTTCGTTTAACGTTCCCTTTTCTCGTTATAAAAAATAAGTTACTATCAATTCAATTCTCTTATTATTGGTGTATATAAACTAGCAAGAAAACCCTTTGCTTGCCTTCGTTATCATGGTATAATTATTATTTAATATATTCTTGCTTTTTGTTTTCTTTTGCCCATTTCTATATGGTATAGGTATAGTATAGTAATAGGTGATGAAGCAGAACATGATGTGTGCTTGTAAAAGTTTGTAAACTTGTTCTATTGCATCGATGCGAGACTGGTGGAAGTACTAATGTGCGACGAGGTGCCCAACGTGGAGGCCATGTCTCCTTGGTAGCTGAACTGTGGCGGCGAAACCAAAAATATCGAGTGAGCATACAGTGACCCACTTTGATTGTTTCCCATAATCTCTTACCTGCGGGAAAAGCGGCTCTTCGGCTATGGAGCCTAACGGCCCGGTAGGATCCGGCGGCGTTAGCTCCACACTCTCTCCCGTGAACTCCTTGTCGAAGTACCTTGTGTCCGTATCGGAGGTGACCTGAGGCTTAAAAGGCGGCGGTATCTGAGGAAAAAACGTAATATGCAATTAGAAAGTATATAAAAATACGTATTCCACCAGCTCCCACCTTTTTCAGCACCAGATCTGACCAGTTAATACTCGCAAAGAAGGGATGTGCTTGAATTTCCTTGACATCATCCTTGCCACCGCCCAATCGCTTCTTGGGATCCTTGGCCAGAAGGCCTGCCAGCAGATTTTTCGCCTCATCTGTAATATTGCGTGGGAATTTGACCTCCTCCACCAAAATCAATGTAAAGAGCACATCATGATCACGATTGTAAAAAGGAAGACGACCACAGATCTGTCAAAAAATCATTTTTATTATAAATTCAATTATTAGCTATGGATGCAAAGGACTCACCATCTCGTACATAACCACGCCGGTGCCCCACCAATCCACCGCCTGGCCATAGTCATTGTCATCTAATACTTCTGGAGCTAGGTATTCGGGTGTTCCGCAGAAGGTTTTCGTTGTGCGGCCGTAGGTGATGTCCTCCTTGCACAGACCGAAGTCGGCGACCTTGATGTGGCCATCTTTGTCCAGCAAAAGATTCTCCAGCTTCAAGTCGCGGTAAATGATGCCCTGCGAGTGCAGGTATCCCAGGGCGGAAATGATCTCTGCCCCATAAAAGCGGGTGCGATCCTCGGTGAAGATGCGTTCGTGGCTTAAATGCCAGAAGAGCTCGCCTCCGTTTACGTACTGCATCACGAAACACAGGCGGTCGTTGGTTTGAAACGAATATTTGAGTGACTGGAGAAGAACAAAAGTACATTTTAGATTAGCATTGCTATAATTGCTCTTTTAGTGTAATATAAATTATACTCACAATGAGGAACGGATGATTTGTGGACTTGAGAACACGACTCTCGGTCAGGGTGTGGGCCACCTCGTCCTTCTGGATGATGACCTCCTTTTTGAGAATTTTAATAGCGTACAGCTTGGCGGTGGCCTTCTCGCGGCACAGGATAACCTTACCGAAGGTGCCCTTGCCGAGCACCTTGAGGAACTCAAAATTCTCCAAAGTCTGCAACGAGATAACGAGTCAGTTCTATCACAATATTGGCCAGTGACTGTATTACTTACCACTTTCTTAACGCCGCTGCTGTTGCAGGTGGTGCCCTGCACGGAGAACTGCTCAGAGAGCTCCACCTCGGCAACGCCAGCCATGTCAACGTCGGACATGTCTGTCTGAACCAATGGCGACATGGCCACCTCTCCCACATCGATGAGCCGGCTGGACACCTGACGGATGGCCTCCGTCCATTGCTGGCGGTCTAATTCCGACTCCACGGCGAATGTCCTCTCGATGACCGTGGTCCATTGCAGGCCGCGGATAATGAAGGTGTATGGCTTGGGCCGATCTACGGTCATGATCTGGCAGCCGCGCACCGTAAAGTTATTGAGCAGTGAATCCGAGGCTGTGCTGGCACTGTCTGCCGGCTTGCTGCGGTAGCCCGTCAGTCGTCCATCGGAGTAGAGGATGAAGTAGCGCTGGCGCCAGGTCTTGATGTGCTCCCCCCGCTTCATCAGCCAGCCTTCCTTGACCAGCTGCGTCAGCGGGTTGTCCATGCTAATGCTGGGCGCGTCGTAGGTGGTGTTCATCGACATGGTTCCGGATCCGTCTGTGGTGGTCGAGGGGCTCCTGTCTAGCCAGGATGGCTGCCTCCAGCTGTGGCTATCTGCACCGCCGCCGCTGTTGTTTGGATGGCTGGATTGGCTGGGTTTGATGTTGATGCTGGCGGTGGTGCTGGGCGATTCCGGGATCCTGGAGACAGGTCCTGGCGCTGGGGTGTTGGCAACCACAGTCGATCGCCGTTGCAGGGCAAGCGGTAGGTAATTCGTGTTGAGGCTGTTCCACAAAACCTAGGGACAAGCGAATGGGGATGCCTGTAAGAGAAGAAATTGGAAGTTAGAAGAGTGTTCGACATTAAATAATTATATTTGTTATGAAAAACGCATTCAGAAGCGAGAATAGTGCTTTTAGGGAAAGATTTTTAACGCTAATGGATGGTTAACTTTTATCCTATCCTTTCAGGATTAGGTAACCCCAGGATAAAAACATTGTGGTGCCTACAAGATGGTAATTAAAGCTTCTGAAAGAGTGTCAAGATTATCTAAATTGTCCAAGTGGGTCGCTAAAATGTAACTCAAAGTCCTGTTGCAATTTTTATAAAAGACCTTTAAGAAGATAATGCAGTGTTTTTAAGGGATCCCTATTTAACCTAATAAGAGGTTATATTTAAATGTCAAGAATATCTATTGTGACTAATAAACAACCCCTAGGAATAAGCTGATTTAAATGCTACCAATCTAGTTGTAAAATCCTGTTGCGCTTCTCACAGAAATCCAACTGGGAAGAGAATAAAATTATGTTTATGAATAAAAAACAAGAGGGTATTTTTAAGAGTAGTAGTCACTGTTTTGTGACTGATCCCATACACCGTAGGAATAAGAATATTTCCTTGCCTCCAATATGGTAAATAAAGCTGTTCAAAGTGGTCAATTATATCTCTGGCTGGGGTACCTTTTAAGGAAAAAATAAGCATTAAAAGGGTGCCAAGTTACAGATACAACCCTCCCCCAAAATCGCCTATCTTACGCTGATATAGTAAGCAATTGTTATTGTCGTTTTTTGCATGTTTATGACAAATGCAGTTGGCGCTTGCGTCAGCAGCTGGTGCAAAACATTCGCGGCATTTCCGCCGGCAGAAGGCAGTCGGCTGAAAGGGATTGTATCGAGTCGAGTAGAGTCGAGTCGAGGAGGAGGAGGAGGAGTCGGGTTGGTTCGGATTGGATGGGATGGTATTGGATTCTTAGTCACTGGCCCACATGCAGATGTAGGCGCCATCGTCGCCTTGTTGTTGCTGCTGGCACTTTCGGCTTCAAACGAAATTCCCCGCCATGTTACGCAGCGGCGGTATGGCGATACGGGCGAAAATTGTTCGCGATTGCATTTAGCGCGAAATTAAATCAAAACAAGTCGACGGCGGCGACTGTTCATGAACTTATATATGTACATACATAAGTACATATAGAAATACATATGTTTGTATGTATATAGGGGGGGACACACACCAGACACACACATGGCCAGCACTCGCAGTCGCACACACACTCGCACAGCTGCAAAAGCAACAGCAAAACCGAAAAGCATATTCATTTACAATTTGCGAAAATGTCAACGACGGATGGCCGCCGGCTGTACAAATTTCGCTATCTATCTAAAACTGTAAACAAATGTACATAAAATAAAAATCGACAAAATACACACAGACACGGCTGCTCGCAGACACACACACACACACTCCGACACCGACACCGAGGCAGTCACACAGACAAGGCATGGCTGCATTGCAAAGTGCGAGGCCAGACTGTGGGTGCGAGGGGGAGGGAGACAGACAGTACGCGTGTCTGCCACAAAGGTGTGTGAGTGTTAGTCTGTGTGTGTGTGTGTGCGAGTGTCTGGCCGTGTGGGTGTGAGTGAGTGAGCCAGCCAGTGTGCGTGTGTGTGTGTGGGCAGCGGCGACCTAGCAGCGCAACATGTCAAATCACTTCGTGGAAATGGTGGAAAATGCTTGTGGAAAATCCAACAAAACCCACCTAGTTTTGGAAAAAAGAACGCGACTTTTGCTTTCGCTACCACTGCTATTTGTTTTTCAGCTCGTTTTGGTCTTTTGCTTTCGATGGTGACGGCAGCGACAACGTCACGGGCCTTATTATTGTGCGTGTGTTGTTGCTGCTTCGACTGCTTGCTGTTGTTGTTGTTTTTGTGTTAAGGTGCCAGACACCAGAGGACGGAACGAAACACACACACTCGCACTCGCGCACTGGTACACACACGCAGATTCAGTCTCTTTCCGCCACCCGGGCGTTTCCACTGGCTGTTTTATGGCCTTCCAACGCGACGCTGCAACAATTGCAAATGCCAGAAAACCTAATTTTCATAAACACAAGCACGCACACAGGCAGAATAAATTTTCCTTGTACCGTTTAGTTTTTACGCTTCACTTTTTTTCGATAGCTGCTGGAGATGTGAAAAGTGCATCAAAATACCAAAAAATCGATAGATCTCGAAAAAATATTTGTGCGTGGTGGTTTTTGTGAATGTCGATTTTTTTATTCGATATAATCAATTTTTTTTTGTTGTAAGAACTAAGTAATAGCCTGATTTTATTCCCTCATTTTAAATGCGCTAAATGAACACTAATCATTAATGAAAAACTACTGTAGAGCAGTACGAAATATATTTTATGAAAAAGTATTATTTATTGGCTCCCTATTGCGGAAATGCTATGTTGAAATTTTAACAACATAACGTTATTGGGAATCCCTCATAACATGAACAATATATATATAAAAAATATTGAAAACATATATATCGCCCTCCACAACAGTGCAAAATACCACTATTAACAAATAAATACCAAAGACACCACCTTTTCCCTATGCCATCCCTATGCGAAAAAAGGCTATCGATTATTTGAATTTAAACGTTTTTTTCAAAACCAAGCGGACTTATTTAAAAACTTTGATTTTAAAATTGTTCTCCATATACACATATCCATTTAAATAAATTCAAATAAAAATTTAAATCTCTTATTGCGGCTTAAGTTGTATTTTATTTATAATATGTCACAAGTACAATTAGGCATTACATTTCTCTTTCGCTATTTGGAAAGTGTTTAGTTACTCAACTACATTGGCAGGTGTCATTATGCATTCGAAAACATGTTTCCTTTTTAAATTTAAAAGTTAATTGTTAATTAATAAATAAAAAATGCGATACATAGCCTATAATTGATTTTTTTTTTAGTTTTCATATGCCGAGCATAATAGGTATGCAAATAAATTGTTATATGATATTTTGTAATAGTAAAATCACCAGTAGCATAATCGCCAACGTACTTAATTCAACTTAAGGTTGGACAAGTTAGCTTCTAAGTCTAGGTTCTGGGGCGGACCATCGCCGCATCGGCGAAATCCGTTCCGAACAGTCAGGTGGCCATCCGAGCGCTCGTCCTCGGAGGCGGAGGACGTGGAGGAGCCGGTGAGCGCCGGTTGTCCAACGGGATTGGGACTAGAGGAAGTGGGCCCCACCAAGTGCTGGAAGTTGTACTGCACCCAAGCCCGGTAGTTGACCATGGACTGCGGCACTTCCACCATGTTGGCCAGAATGGGTCCCACGATTTTGGCCGAGTCGGAGTCCACCAACTTGGAGAGCTTCATGAAGGCGGCCTCGAATCCTTGCATCACATGCAGCGCCGCATAGGAGCTCCTTCCGATGTCGTTCGTGGGCGTCACCGGATCCTCGATGCTGAGCACCGACCAGTTGTTTTCGCCCAGCGAGGAGCGAAGTCGCTCCTTCTCCACGCAGCCGCCGTCACCAAGAACCGAAATGCCGTACTTGAAGAAGTCGAACTTGCGGCCATAGTAGTCCAGAAACTGGAGGAGCAGCAGGCCCAGCTTGTTGTTGGCATTATAGCGCTTACCGATACGCGCCTGCTGCTGCAGGAAGCTGATGACCATGAGGGTGAGGGCGTAGGACGAGACCCCGCCGCAACTGTAGACCTCATTCAGTCCTTGGAGGCTGAGATACTGCTTGAGCACCATGACCAGCTTGGGCAGCTCGGGGAACTGGCGAATGAAGTCCTTGATCAGCTCGGCGGCCTGGACGCCCGATGCGCCCGCATTGAAGGTCACATCGAACTTGATTCGGGATATGCGCTCCGTGAACTTGACCACCGGCACGGAGGCCTTGTCGAGGACACTCACGGTTTCCGGATCCGTGACCCCCTGACTAACTAGCTCACTTTGGAGCTCATGCAGCAGTCCGGGGTTCCAGTAGTAGCCGTGGTGCACCACCAGGTCGATGTCCGAGTCGGGCAGGTTCAGACCAGTCCGAAATGAGCCAAAGACCTCCACGCATGCGCCTGGCCAGATGGAGAGAACCACATCCTCGATGCGACGCACTGCCTCCGCGCGCAAGTAGAACTCGGTGGGCGTGGACTGGATGTAGTTGTAGAACTGGTCGATCTCCTGGTGAAGCAGACACAGCGCCGAGACCCCGTTGCCGTAGGCCATTCCGGAAAGCTGCCAAGGCTTCGCTGGATTCGCTGCGTCACACATTTTACGAGTCCGCTTTTTGTTTTGGCGCGGAAAAGAAAATGAAAAATTAGATTCGCAAAGCGAAGAAAAAGCGAAAGGCGAATCAGAAAAACGCGAATAGCGCCGTTATTCGAACGGAGCTGCCAACTGATCTCGAATGGAGTGAAAAATTAACGTAGTAATCACGTTAAAGTTTTCCCAATTTAACAACAAAATTAACTCTAATTTAAAAACAAATGAACAAAAGAACTCGCGAGTGAAGTGTAATTGTTTAAGTCCTCCGTACAAATGGTTGCCAAGTATTTGGAAGCTATCTGAAATAAAAGGCCAGGCCTGCTGCGTTAAATATTTTACTTGACTAGTGTTAGAAAAGGCCGTAGTATTTTTACCTGTTGGTTACGTAGTATTAAACGCAATTTACAAATTGTACACACATCCAGAAAAAAGCTATAGTTTTAATAGTTTGTATTTAATAATGTACATAAAATATAATAAGTAAGCATTTCATAAAAATAATGGGCATAAAGACAGAGGAAAACAAATTTTATGGATCCAGCTGAAAAATAAAAATCTTTATATCCTGGTGAAGCTAACATTAACGCGAATATATGTATAAGGGTAAATAAAGAAATAACGTTGTAACTTAAGAACTAATCCTCCTCCAAGTGTCGACGGTGCTGCATTTGGAGCTCGAAACGTCGATTCAGACGCACTCCGCGAATGAACTCTCCTTTCTCCTTCTGGTCCTTTGTTGTCCTGCCCTTGAACATTTCAATGCGCCGCTGTCGTCGCTCCGCCAACTTGTTATCCTGCGAGTCTGCCGGTCTGCTGGAAAACGTGGCGTTGAATGTCTTGACCGTGGAGGTGGACAGATTGAAGGCTGGCTTCGGAGCCACATTCAGGACGGTAGCGGTGGTCTTCAAAGGCAATCGGGATGAGTTGAGCTTATCGGAGGGATGCTCAATCACCATGCTTCGATCGGCGGTCATGTCGATCTTCTTCAACGCTTTTGGACGAGGGCGCTCCTCTACTGAAATGGAACTCTGGGGTTTCTTGGCCGTCGATCCCGGCAGTTGCTTCTGCACTGAATTTGTCAGCACCTTGGCGCGTTCCGCCTTGCGCTCGACGTGATCCAGCAGGCTCTCCATCTTGGCAAACTGCTTCTCATGCATGGCAGCGAAGTTTGGCATCTTGGTGCGCTTATTCACCTTGCTGGGTGTGTTGGTTCTGTTAAGCGGGATAACTCCTGAAGGGGTAAACCGTTTATATTATTGAGAATGGGTATAATTCTGATTATGTACATACCCCTACTGGGCTTCGGAATTCTGCTCACTTTGCAGTGGTTCTCATCCAATGACTTTGAGCGCCTGCGGCGGTTATTAACATCTGAAAAGGAAATTTTAGTAAAGATAGTTAGTTTAGTAAAGGTCTAATAACAAGAATATTGAACTTACTACATTTCTGAAGTCCCTTCCAGCGCTTATCAATGTCCTCGACATTAGCAATCTCAATGGGACTCTGAAAGGACACAGTTCGCGACACGGTGTTATTCCAATCGCTGGCCGACTTGGAACGTTTGCGTTCGTACTTCGGTTCTTCAGCATTCATGAAGTCTTTATTCATGTGCTTATTATCAAATGACTCAACTGTTTCTGTGAAACTAAAGACCGGCCTTGCCTTATAGGGCGTGGGGAATCGGAAGCCCTTTGATTTCCTAGGCTTCGATGCCTTTGGCGAGGCTGCATCGGCCAGATTCAAAAGTGTTTGGTTCTGGTCATCTGCTGTGGTAAGCACCACTTTAATCGCCGCTTTTTCCTCAGCAATTTCGGGCTTGAGAATGCAAGCTTCTTGCTGTTTATCGGGACTGACAACCAGGATAACACTTGCATCAAGATTGGAAGTGTTAACCAGGATAACACTTTCATCCGAATCTTTTTTTTCCTCGGCATCGTAAGTGGTGTTCAGGGGCGATTTTTCTGGTTCATCCAGATCTTCATTTTCTACCATGAGTGATGGCATCTCTTCCTCAGGACTGGCCTGCTCACTAGCCACTTTTTTGTCTTCACTCTGTTTAGCAGGCTTTGTGGTCTCACCAGCTTGTTCATCTTTCTCATCATTTTTCTGACCATCATTATCTTTTACTGGACTCAACTTGGCTTCATCTACAACAGCCTCCTCTTTGTTCTTATCCTGTGGAGCAGTTATTGTGGTGTCTCCAGCTTGTATCTCTGGCTCATCTTCCTGGCTATCCATTTCTAGAGGGGATAAGCCCAGTTCATCTATATCTGCTTTAGCTACCTTATTATATTTGGATGGATTTTCCTCCTCGATGTCTGCTGCCTGCGGTTTATCTTGCTGCTTCACTTCTTCTACCAAGTCTGTTGGAGCCTCTGTGGTATCCTCTTGATCCTGGGACTTCTCCTCTGGTACTTCCACCTTTGTTTCCTGCTTTTCTTCAATATTATCCTCTGGTATATCCTTCTCCGTTTTTTGCTTCTTGGTGGTCATTCGCTTGGACTTGCGGCTGCGCTTGCGCGAATTCCTGCCCACCTCCGCGGAGCTCCACTTCTGGGTGGACGGCTCCTCGTTCTCGGGATTGGCTTCCATAACCTCGGCTATAACCTTCTTGGCAGATTTTACTATATCGTCGTAGTCGATCGCAGGACGTATACTTTTCCTGCAACTGCGTCGCGGGGTTTCAGTGGCTGGGCGAAGATTGCCAGGAGTGCCCGGAGTCTTGGGAGGATCGGGCTGTGTTGGCGAATCCTTCTCCGAGTTGGCGTTCATTCGTCTGAGCACAGCTCTGCGCGTCTTCCTGGCCACAGGAGTGCCCGCCGCGGCTGTAATTTCTGCATTCCGATTGGCGTCTTCATTTTCCTGGTCGTTCGGCGCCAAGACGCCAACATCAATAGCGTCATTATCTGCAGTAATTGGGGGTAAGCAATATAAAGAACAGCTAATGCGTACACTTCACTTCGTATTTACCAATATTCGACTCCATTTTTACTTTAATTTTTCGAGTTTTCGCTTAAATGGACAGAAATTAAAATGCTTGTTAAATTCAATCTGTACGTTTTTTTTGAAGCTGACTAGTGATGGACAAAACATCGAAGCATCGATTCATTGTTGATATCGAGGTTTGCCCATCGCTATAAAAACAGCTAGCGACTAAGCGGAGACACACACCCGACAAAACTGACATTTAAGCATTTTAGCAAAATACGGTCTCTTTGAAATGTATTTAAAAATACTCCACCGCTGCTCTGCCACTGTTAAAAAAACGTTATATCGTAACATTTTTGTTAAACAACCGTTTAATTTAAATATTGTTAAGCATTTGATTGCCACTAAAGCAAACAGAATACGCCCCCAGTAGATGTTTCCAGAACCTTTTCTCCAGCCCTGCACCGTAGTGGTGTTGTCAATTTAGCTATTATGCATGGCTGGCGGAAAAAATGCTCTTATAATGTAATGAATAAGTGACTTATCAGAACTACCTAAATTCAGCTGTTAAGTCTCTTAAATATCTATTTAACTTCATTAAAATTTCGAGTTTTAACTCTAGCGTTTTTATCGCTACCATCAGCGCCATCAGCATTTTTAATGCTAGTTTAGCTTTTTTTGATTGACCCGAAGAGTTGGCAACCCTGTCTCCGTGGGGGATTTAAAGGCCGTTTCCCCGTGCGTCGGCGTCATTTGAAAAAAATCAAAGCGGGCGTCGCAAGTGCGGAGTAATTTATTGCCTTTGTTATTCGTGACGTGGCCTTTTGCCGGAGCAACTAATAGCTCGTCCTCGTAAATCCAGTTATCTGCGATCATGAAGTACTTTTTGCTGTTGGGGCTGCTGCTTTTTGCAGGTAGGTTTCGTTTTGCCACGCCGCAACGCCTCCAAAATACCGGTGTTTTAACCTAATTAATTTGTGTTCCGTTCTCGCTGGTTAGGCATCAATCAAATCGCCGCCGAGGAGGATGAAACGGCAACGGAGACCATTGATTTGGACCTGGGATCCTTTAAGGAGGGCTCCCGAACCGGTAGGTAGACACGCCCCCCAGCGAGTTGTGCAAAATTCGTTGGTACACGTCAGCGTTCCGAATGGGTCTTAATAGCCGCCCCCTTTTATCTATTCCGAACCCGCAGATGCCGAAACCCTGAAGCGCGAGGAGGAGGCCATCCAATTGGATGGTTTGAATGTGGCGCAACTTAAGGAAATTCGCGAGAAGGTGGGTTCACACCGGATGATCCAATAAGTACACGTATGAACGGGATTTCCCTTCTCTTTTCTCCCTTGCCCCTGCAGGCCGAGAAGTTCACCTTCCAAACGGAAGTCAACCGCATGATGAAGCTCATCATTAACTCGCTGTACCGCAACAAGGAGATCTTCCTGCGTGAACTGATCTCCAACGCCTCCGATGCCATCGACAAGATTCGTCTGCTGGCCCTGTCCAACAGCAAGGAGCTGGAGACCAATCCGGAGCTGCACATCCGCATCAAGGCCGACAAGGAGAACAAGGCCCTGCACATCATGGACTCTGGCATTGGCATGACCCACCAGGATCTGATCAACAACCTGGGCACAATCGCCAAGTCGGGCACTGCCGATTTCCTGGCCAAGATGCAGGATCCCAGCAAGTCAGAGGGACAGGACATGAACGACATGATTGGACAGTTCGGTGTGGGCTTCTACTCTGCCTTTCTGGTCGCCGACCGTGTGGTGGTGACCACCAAGCACAACGACGACAAGCAGTACATCTGGGAGTCGGACGCCAACAGCTTCACCATCACCGAGGATCCCCGTGGTGATACCCTGAAGCGAGGATCTGTGATCTCACTGTACCTGAAAGAGGAGGCCCAGGACTTCCTGGAGCAGGAAACCGTCCGCGAGCTTATCCGCAAGTACTCGCAGTTCATCAACTTCCCCATCCGCTTGTGGACCAGCAAGACTGTCGAAGAGGAGGTGCCCGTGGAGGAGGAGGCCAAGCCCGAGAAGACTGAGGATGACGTGGAGGAAGAGGACGCCAAGGTCGAGGAAGCCGAAGATGAGAAGCCCAAGACCAAGAAGGTTTCGAAGACCACCTGGGACTGGACCCTGATCAACGACAGCAAGCCCATCTGGACCCGCAAGCCCGCCGAGGTGACCGAGGATGAGTACACCAGCTTCTACAAGAGTCTGACTAAGGACTCCAGCGAGCCCCTGTCCCAGACGCACTTCATTGCCGAGGGTGAGGTTACCTTCAAGAGTTTGCTCTACGTGCCCAAGGTGCAGCCATCCGAGTCCTTCAACCGCTACGGAACCAAGTCTGACAACATCAAGCTGTACGTGCGCCGTGTCTTCATCACCGACGAATTCAACGACATGATGCCCAACTATCTGAGCTTCATCCGCGGTGTCGTCGACTCCGATGATCTGCCCCTCAACGTTTCCCGCGAGACCCTGCAGCAGCACAAGCTTATCAAGGTGATCAAGAAGAAGCTGGTCCGCAAGGTGCTCGATATGCTGAAGAAGATCGACAAGGATGCCTACGAGAAGTTCTGGAAGGAGTTCTCCACCAAGTAAGTGTTGTCCATTGTTCTTTTATAATGGAGCTGATAAGAAATCCGCAGAATCCATGCAATTTTATAATGTTGACCGTAGTGACGTGTATTTTTCTTTCGAGTGAGAGTTTGAGATAAGAGTTCTCTTTTCCGATGAATTCAAGATTTATTTAAAAAGCGTTGGTTTTTTATACTTATTTACTTATTTATTTAATTTTATAGGAATTTCTGTCGCAATTAAGATTCTCTATTATAAATAGCACTTGTACAGATAAGATAAGAAGTTCTGCCAAGTTCACGCAATATTAAAATATTGACCATAGTGACGTGTACATTTGGTAGGAATTAATTTGTTCTAGGAACTATAATTCACTATACTTACTACTATAATAATTTCCCTGCTAATTACTATTATTTCTTGAAATTACAGCATCAAATTGGGCGTGATGGAGGATCCCAGCAACCGATCGCGTCTCGCCAAGCTGCTCCGCTTCCAGACCTCCAACGGAAAGGGCGTTACCTCGCTGGCCGAGTACAAGGAGCGCATGAAGGCCAAGCAGGAGCACATCTACTACATCGCCGGTGCCAACCGCGCCGAGGTCGAGAAGTCGCCCTTCGTGGAGCGTCTCCTGTCCAAGGGCTACGAAGTTCTGTACCTGGTGGAGGCCGTCGATGAGTACTGCATCTCCGCCCTGCCCGAATTCGATGGCAAGAAGTTCCAGAACGTGGCCAAGGAAGGATTCCAGCTGAACGAGTCCGAGAAGAGCAAGAAGAACTTTGAGTCGCTGAAGACTACCTTCGAGCCGCTGGTCAAGTGGCTGAACGATGTGGCTCTCAAGGATCAGATCTCCAAGGCCCAGGTGTCAGAGCGTCTGAGCAACTCCCCATGCGCCCTGGTGGCCGGCGTCTTCGGCTGGACCGGCAACATGGAGCGTTTGGCCATGTCCAATGCTCACCAGAAGTCCGACGATCCTCAGCGCACCTACTACCTCAACCAGAAGAAGACCCTCGAGATTAACCCCAGGCATCCTCTGATGCGCGAGCTTCTGCGTCGCGTGGAGGCCGATGAGGCTGATGATACCGCCAAGGACATGGCTGTGATGATGTTCCGCACCGCCACCCTGCGGTCTGGATACATGCTCCAGGAGACTTCCCAGTTCGCCGACAGCATTGAGCAGATGATGCGCCAGACTTTGGGAGTCTCGCAGAACGAACAGGTGGAGTTCGATGAGGATGAGGAGGACGATGCCGAGGAGCCGGCGACCGCCAGCCAGGAGAGCGCAAGCGCTGACGACGAGGAGGAGGATCAGCAGCACGACGAGCTGTAAACTGCATCACCCATAGTTCACATAGATTGTACATAAGAGTGTGGAGGTCAGACTGAGTTCTAAACAAGCACTTGCCGGGCGTTTCATCATCATTACTCCTTAGCATGTCCGTAGATTTTAAGTAAAGCAAATTCGTAATCCTTCGCCGATGTTGTCATCACCACCAGTCGCCCAGAGAGCACTCCATTTCACCCAACACACTCTCTACATTCGGTCGCTTAAGCGTTTTCTTTTTTCGAAAGCACATGATAAATGTATTTATACGATGTAATGAGTAATACAGAACAGATTCCATTCAAAATAAAGAAAGACAAATGAATTTTAACAAGTGCCTATTCCATATCGGAATGTAACAAGTTCAAAGGCGGCAGAATCTGAATTTGCCACATTTTGAGGTTCTATCTAATGCGCAATAGTTAAATATACTAATTTAGAACAGGATTGGATCAGTCATCAAGATCGGAACACAATGGTTCATTATTGAAGGCCTTCAAGTATGAGCTGTACTTCGTTTGGTCGCGGATTTGCTGCAGCGCATCCGAGTGCGATAGCTTGTAAGTGTCCATGAAGAGGCGCACTATCCACAGCGGTAGCAATCCGTTTACAAGAAGCGTTGTGTGATTCTGACAATCGGGAAGTTTTTAGATATATTCAATTCTAAAAAGCCCCAAACTTACGCTTCGACTACTGTAGACTTCGCCCAGTTTCTTGAGCATCTTCTGATGAATGTTCGCATTGAGAATGTCAATAATTTCCATGTGATCAATATTCATATAGCCGACAGTGCGTGGCTTAAACTCCCGCTCCTTAAACAGCTTATCAAAGTCGCTGCGATACTTTTCGAAAGTGTTCATGACATCGTCTTCGCCCAATTCCTTCAAGAGTCTGATATATTGAAAAGATCGGAGGTTGAAGGCAATTTCGTAAGCACTTTATTTACATCCAGTTGAATCACTTACAAAATCTCAACTTCCCGCGGCTTTGGCATGTCCAGCATGCTGTCCAGCCGCTGCAGAGCATCGAACCGGGCTCCGTCCATCTGCTCCACCTTCAGAGCCTTGAGAGGCGACGGCGAAATACGTTTTACCTTGGACTTGGAACCCTTGCTCTTGCTGCCCTTCGCCTCGCTGAAAATGCACCCAGAGAAATGGTTAATATCGTTCCTTACAGCCCAAACTCTAACGCGTACCCTAAGACGAAATTTTTAAAACGACCCGGACGCATGGGTGATCGGTTGGAGCGGC